AGTAGGAGACCTTTTAGCCTTCAGCACTACTTTAATTCTTCGTGCTGAAAACATTACTCAGAGGTTTTGGTCTGTATTAACATGACAGTCAAAAGGTGTTTTATTAGATTGAGATCAGGTGACTGTGTGGCCCACTGGGTACAGTAAACTTACTGTAATGTTTAAGAAACCAGTTAGAGATGATTTCAGCTTTGTGACATGGGGTGTTATCCTGCTGAAGCAGCCACCGACAGTTAGGTATACTATGATGAAAAGGGATGGATATTATCAAGAACAACCATTTAGTTACTATAAAATCGACTTGGGAGCATATAAGAATCAGTCACTATAGGCAAAATAGGTAAACACTATATTATTTTGTGAAGGGCCAGTATCAGTCAAAAAAAAAAAGTCTATCGGCCAACATATATGTGCATCCCTCTTTCAATAGGCAGTATCTGTATTTCGTATATGAGATCAGTTCAAAGATGTCTCCAGCGATCTGCGTTTTCAGAAAAATCTTTCATGTTGTAATGTTTTTGATGTTGTGTCTTTAAGGTAATAAGAATTTGGAAGGAAGATGACATACTATTGGACAAAGCCTTCAAAGCAACAGTAAGTCCGAACATATACATTGATGTAGACAGTAGAACGCCATCCCGCTTCTACCACCAAGAACAGAAATGAAGACTACAACAAAACACACAATCCCAGCTCTAAGGGTATCTCCTCTCCACTGGTGTAAATATTTTAGTACAGATTGTTATAGAGTCCACTGCTCACCGTCTCCACAGCAAGACTGGTTGTACTTAAGACTTGGAGAGAGCAACAAAACACATAAGAAGCACTGTAGACCTGCTGATGATGTTAAATTGCACATTGCTCCTAAAATTCTCAGTAGTATTTAGAGCAATTAACCTGAAAATAATTAATTAACCAGTGTGTTATTGACAGATGTGAACACTTCTGCCTTTTCCGTGTGCTTTTTCTCCAGGTTTCTTCAGATGTCTGGAAGGTTCACTGTACACATGGAGGGGAGCCTGTGGTCTTGTTTCAGAGAGGAGCTGTGAGACTGCTGGACTCTCTGCTTGCTGCTCCGCAGCAGCCCATAGAGGAGGTGCTAGCTCAAGAAGAAGCCATCAGGTCGATGTCATTTGACAAACTTTATGTTGACCTTATTCTAGAGCTGTACTTGAGTGCAACGTGTTAACTTTTAAACTCCCCCCCCCCCCCCCTTTTTTTTTATCTGCAGGTGGAGCGCCATCATAGTGACAGAGACCCAGCAGTTTATCATCATCACAACTGAACAGGTAAAATACTTGATGGGCTAAAAGTTTCAAGTGGATTTAGTTTTAAGTCCTCATTGCTTTTGCAACACAGCTAATGTCCTTGCTTTTGCCCAACATGACTGTCACTGTCTCCCCGCAGAAAGGAGAGCATTTTCTCTACCTGCAGAGACTGAACCCAAACTCTGTACAGAGGTACCGGCTTGAGAGAGAAGAACCTGGTCTCTCCCCGCTGAGCTTCTCTGCCACTTACAGGGATAAGCACATCTGCCTCCTTTATCTCTGTAAGCCACACTTTCCTGTCAGAACATTTTGAATGTTGGTGTTTGAGGCCATATGCTATGGAATTTGGAAAAGATAATTACTGGCACTGCAAGCCAGTTACAGGGGGTGGGAGTGTAAAAACGTACAGCTGTGTTCCTTCATCAGGGTCATCAACAATTATAAAAATGTGACTTTAAAAAAAATGACATCCCTTAAGTAACTAAGTTTAAACTTGTACTCAAAAGGCACCCCTAGTCCCCCTCCTCTGAACAGTACTGCTGAGCTGATTTGAGACACTTTTGAAGGATTAGCAGTTTAAAATAAGACGTGTAGTGAAGGTCCACTACTGTGAATAAGATCCCCCTTGCTCTCTCACTTCAGTTAGTTGTGAATGCACTCTTCTCCAATTGCTCACAGTTTGATAATCTGATGTAAATAAGTGGTGCACTCTACATGTATGAAGCTAAATTACACAAACACACAGTTGGTGAGGTATGCAGTATGTAGTATTGCTAATGTTTAAACATTTCTCTCACATTTAGACCCTAATGGTCACGTGTACCAGAGTGTACTCTCCGTGCGGGGCCTCGGGACTGAAGAGGGGGTCCAGGCCTTACCCCTGCCTCGTAGCCTGCTGCTGGGTCTTCCTGTTGGTGATGGCCAGCTGGAGGCAGCGTCTGCCATGGCTCTGGATGAAGCCCATGTAGCTGTTGTTGGGGTTCCACATCCCTCTGCTGGAGGTGGTAAAGGTAAATGCTGTTAAATTACAGTATCTCAAATAAAGATCTTTAACTCCTCTACAAGTACCATACTGTGCATGGCAAATCCTCTTGAAATTAGTTTTTTATATATAATATCAAGGCTTTCAGTAAGCCCTTGTAGGGAGTTGGCATGGAAACAGCGGCTTTCTTTTTTAGTAGCACAGTTTCACATTATCATACTGATGAAATGTAGAGCTGTTATTTTCCTAACTGCTTGTCTTTTATGTCTTAGTTAATCAGTTAAAAAAAC